CCATTGTAAATGCACACTGGTTGACAAGGGCCTAAATTTTGATCATGTGACTATGGGTATATTGCAATGGTTGTAAGTGTGCGGACTGGCTGTAAATCACTTTCAGTGTGGTAACTTCGAAGAGTCACTAAACGAATAGTTGTATGTCAAGGACTACCTGTAAGACAGGGGTGTCAAACTCTATTTCATTTAGGGCCGCATCAGGGATGTGTTTGACCTCAGGGGGGTGGGGGGCATGCCGAGGAGGGGCGTGGCCAGTTTGACATCCATTTTTTGACCACAATGGCCTCCTGCAGCCCTCAGCGAAAACGTGCCCCCCCCGCTCTCTTTTTGCTGGCAGAGGCACTGTGGGTCAGTTCTTTGCTGTTTCCACAGCGGCCCTGTGGGCCAGTTCTAAGCATCCCACAGGCTGGATCTGGCCCATGGGCCTTGAGTTTAACACCCCTGCTGTAAGAGATCAGACAGCAAAGCCATTTTATGTCCTGCTGTCCTGTTTAGATAAACAGCTTTGTGATTCTGTTTTATTATATTGTATTGGTTCCTGCGAAAAGAATTTGCGATATTTATCCAGACAAAGCTGTTCTCCAGTCGTATTTTTTTGCTCTGTGGCATTCCGATTATTTTTTTACTGTGGCTTTGCAGCTTCAGCTGATGGCAATTCTTATTGTGTAGTCACATTGAAGCTTTGTTTTTGTTTAAAAAAACAAACCAAGGTAATGAGCATCTGGGTATTCTCCAACGAAAGCTGAACACAACTACTTAGGGTGCCTCAATAATTGAATGAGTAAATTGGCATAAATAAATAAAATTAGCATACACTTAGCACAAAGGATCATGATATTTTATATTAAGTCAGTAACACTTGTCAGATAAGACATTCTATATGAATGCTAAATTGGCCACTATCTGGAATGCTAATACTGTAGTCATTTCTCTCTCTTACAAGAAATCAATTCAGTGTTTTTCCCTTCCCTGTGCTGAAAGGGAAATTTACAAGGTCAAGATAAAGAAGAAAGCGTATAAAGATGAGGCATGGATTCTGCAGGTATAAATTGGATTCCTTTTCAGGTAGTTTGTAGCTTAACAACTGCCTCTTGCGATGGTGCTGAAAAAGATCTGCAACCACTCCTCAGTCTTGCAGCTGTCTCAGATACTCCACGGTTGTGTGAGTGTGATTTTGGGTGCTTTGACACCGGTGTACATTTAGGACAGCCACAGCACCTCATATGAGCGCCTTTTGCCAACTTCATAGCCACCTTCCGACAAGCAAAATCAATGAGGAAACCAGAAATAAGTCATGATCATGTGAAGTCACATTTGATGAACGTTGTTGATTTGCTTAACAATTGCAGTAGAACTGATGTCATACGTCAGCAGGATCATGTGATGTTTCACTTAACAGCTCCATTGATTATAACAGAATTGCTGTCCCCACTACCGTTGTTATCTGTATTTGGTGGCCACCATCCAGTTATCCAGGTTATGTCTATTGGCACATAATTGTACTAATTATTCTCATTGGGTAAAATTTATATCAGACTTTGAAAGCTAAGCAGGTCAGTGATGGGAAATCACCTAGACATCGCAGGATTTCTAGGGTGGACTGGACTCAGTGGTATGTTTCAAACACTTTCACCACTGGTTTGGTTGGCGCGCTTTGCATACACACACACACTTTGCACGCACATGCCAAATGCGCACTTTGCGCAGGTGCAGAGGGTTGCTGACTCACCTCCTGCAATTCTGCATTCTCCCTGTTGCTTCAGCAGCTACCACGCAGCAATCTGTGCTGCGCAAAGCAGGTGCACTTCAAAAGCAGGGAATAAAGGTTAGTATGGGAGACCGGGCAGATGGGTGGGCCAAACAGCAGAGTATTGGAGAGAACCGGTTTGGTCTCTGCTGCTCATCGGCGCTACCAGCTCGGTAGAACCGGGCCAAACCGGTAGAATACCATCACTGACTGACTGGACTGTCAAAAAGCCCACAAAACATCCTGGTGAAGACACTTTCACAATACTGCCAAGAAAATAAGACAATTGCATTAGAAGGACTTGAGCTCATCTCCATAGCGGGTTTTAAGTTGCATTAAACTTTGATCTGGTCATTACACACACACACACCCTGTTGTGGCCCCAATTCCCGAGCCTATGCTGTCAGAGGAAGAGGACCTGGAAGATGAGGAGGAGGAACTGGGAATGCCTTCCTCCCCAGCACCTTCCTCTCTGGCAATGCCTTCCTCCCCAGGACCTTCCTCCCTGATGGTGCCTCAGGTTCCATCAGACAACCGAGAGGAACAGCCTGAGATTAATCAGGAGGAAGGCATATTGGAGCAGACCCTGACAGGGAGTAAAGAGGAAGAGTGTTGGCTCGATCCTAAGCAGTGTCGTAGGGAGAAACGTGAGCAGCAATGTAGGAGGCATAGGAGGGTCAGAGAGTGAGCTGAGTCATTGAGCCACATCCCACAGGGGATAAAAGTGGGTGTGTTTTCTCCTGAAACTTTGTACGGGACAAAGTTTAACCTTACTTCAGATTTTCTTCATGAATGACTATTTTTGTGGACTGCCTTGTGATTTTCTGTGAGTAAAATTTTATCAGTTCGGACTTGGCAGGCAGGACACGTGGGAATGCCAAGAATATTATCAGTTCCAAAGAATTAACTCTGTGAAGTCTGAGCCAGCTTGCCTGCCTGTGTTGGTGTGAGTTTGTACTCTTTCATATTTTGGGAAAGAGGAAAGGCGAGACAGAACACCCCCTGTCCCTCAATAAAAATCCCAAGGACTAGGATTAATCACCAGACTTGAAGACGAAGAGTATGGGAATACACACACACACACAAACACACACAAAGTTGAACATGAAAAATAAACAGGAAACATACTTTTACAACTGATGTTCAGAAATATTTTGAAGTCAGTCTATTTACATTTTAAGTGGATTTTTTCCTACGATTGAGTTTAATGAGAAATTGAGTTGGATTTATTATTTAACAAATTTGCTTGGGATTGCTTCTAACTATTTTAGTTTTTTTAAAAAAGTTATGATAAATAGATATGAGAGTATGAGTCTTACATGTTAGGTCACTGACATACTTCTGGATCTCTTGAAAACATATGTTGGAGAATAGTTTTTACTCCCAAGTATTTATTTCATGGATTAAATATATTGTATAAATATTTTATGCTTTCAGCACTTTCCGTATTAGTCAGTACAGTATTAGAACATTATACATATTACAATCACATATTACATAACATACATCATAACATAATGTAGCAATATATACCATGCAATAACATACTGCATTACATATAAATATATATTTTGCCTTCTGAAATCATGGGATAGGAAATCTTTTAGAGGGCTTCGTTTTTCTGAAGGTAGTTGTGTTATCCAGCAATTCATTAGATAAGGTAATTCAAAGTGTTAAGTATAATCTATAAAACATTTGCTTCAGCTATCTGCCAGACTATTCAGTTAAGTTTTGTCTTTCTATCCTGTTAGTTGTTATGTCATCTTATGGGCTCTTGGAGACCTATCTGTAACCACAATTGCCCTGTGAAATAGTTCCTCACTTCCTGTCTTGATAGAATTGACCATGTTGTTGTAGATATTACGGTTAGTTATACAGTCAGCCAGATGTTTAGACTGATTTTGTATTTTTATCCACCTATCAATTTCTTCAAAAGGGCCTGGATTAAACAGATGTTGTTTTATATTATTAAAGGCTTCATTACAGGATGGAAGCTGTCCCAAATAAAGCTGCTTTTTGAAACTGATTTGTGGTGATTTTGTCAATGCTAATACAGTATCCAAGTGGAACTCCAGATGTTTGGGGATTGCACCAAAGACACCTATTATTAGTGGCATCATCTTTGCCTTCTTTGGCAACAATTGTTTTACGTTTATTTGCAGGTTTTTGTATTTTTTTGATTTTGTCAATTTTTTTCTCTGCTGTTTCCATATGCTGCAATCTCCACTATCCAGACTTTTCGTCTTTCTTACCAGTGATTATTAACTCTGAGGTGTTATATGGCAGGTGCCTGTCTTTTTGAATTCTAAAGTCCCAGAGCATTTTAGCTTCTTCTTTTTCTATGACTTACCTATTTTGGGGCCTCACCAGTCTTCTCTTGCAGACAAATGCTATTTCTTGATATATTCCAAAGCACCATTGTTGCTACTTTGTTATGCTGTTGTTTGTAGTCAAACCCGCTTTCCTCTTTGAACAGACACTGCTTATAAATGGAAGAAACAAAATAAACACAATATCATTTTTGAGAACGAGGCTGCTATTTGCTTTGTTTTCCTCAATCAGCGTCTTTGGTTCTGAATTTTATTGGCAGTTTTGGGATCCTGTGTGTGTGTGTGTGTGTGTGTGTGTGTGTGTGTGTATGTATGTGTATGTATCTGAGCGCTCTCTGGATTCAGTCTGCAATTTCTTTCATCATAAAAAAGATATCTCTACATAAAAAAGATTTTTTGTTAATTCGAACATGGAATTTAAGATGATAGCTGTCAAGTTAGCCTTTCTCTAAGCATTGCCTGCATTCAGATTTATATGCTATTAAAAATATAATTCCCCTCTCCCCTTTCCCACATCCCATTTCCTGTACCATTGGGATTAATGTAATTATTGCTTTGTGAGCATGATTCCCTGTAAGTAGGCATGGGAGATTCTTACAACTTTGTCTAGCTTTGTTTGGGGAAGCTTTGTAGGTGGCTGTTACAAAATGAACTGAGCTATATTCTTTTAAAGTCTTGGTTTGGAAAGGTAAATGTATTGCAACAACAATCTTTAATACTCTTGAAATATTGGCCCCTGAGCTATTTTAATATGAAAATAAACCTGTTCCAAACAAAATTTTGTAAATCAGCAGTTCCTCCTGTTTTCATTTGAAAACCAACATTTTCTTCCTTTAAAATTCAAAAGTTATCAGCCTTAGTCTTTAAAATCTGTCAGAGCAATTAGTCTCCTCATTGCTTTTATACTCTTTATATTTCAGTACCATCTTCCTGTGATAGGAGGCTCCTAAGAGGAAACCTTCTACTTATCAATGCACGACCAATGGTAAGTCCCGTAAAATGTTTTTTTATGTGTGTTCGAAGTTGTTTAAAATAAACTGAATGGATGGCTTTATAGATAGTCCTCACTTAATAACTGCTCTGTTTAGTGGCTGTTCAAAGTCATGATTGCACTGAAAAAGTAACCAGATCGCTTGTTTATATTGGTTAGGGTTATGATTAATTTAATTGATCCATCCATCGCCCATCCGTCCGTCTGTCCGTCTGTCTGTCTGTCTGTCTGTCTGTCTGTGTCTTCTATCTATCTATCTATCTATCTATCTATCTATCTATCTATCTATCTA